CACCTGTAAAGACTGAGACACAAAGTACATTTTGAGGACCCGAGGGAAGTCTGAGCGGAGACAAAATGAGCCAAAGAGAATGATTCTTAAGAAGCCCCCAAGACTGAATTCATTTCATGTGAAGCTCTGGGTCGTGGATTCCTTTAACTACCTTTCATGCCTGTTTTCTTCTTCTTACTTTTCTTTTCAGCCTCATTGGACATTATTCTGAAATCCTTCCTTCCTTCCTTTTTTTTTCCTTCCTTCCTTCTTTCCTTCCTTTCTTTCTTTTTCTTCCCTTCTTTCTCTGCCTGAGCCACACAGCCAGGCAGCCATGTGTTCATTTTCATGCCTGGATAACAGGTCATCAGGTGCTTTTTACTCCCACAGAAGAATACTGTTCCGGCACAGGCCTTTATTACCCTGGGGCCAAATGTCATGGAAACTTCATTACCTTGGAGGCCAGATGTCACAGAAATCTCATTGTGAGCCCCACAGCCTTTGAGCTGACAAGGCAGAGGAGGACCGCCTGGCTCACATCAAGGGATTTGAGAGTCTTCCAATCCTTATCATGCTTTCCACCCTCACTCAGAATTATAAGGATTTTGTCCCAACCAGACCCAACCAATCCTGGCAGAAAAGAGACCTCTGCTCTCCACAGGAATTTCACACATCCATGACCACGGGGAAACCAGAGCAAAAAGTGCTGAGGGGAAAATCCATGGCCACTTTTGGCCTTCTCTGACCCAGTTCCCTCCACCATATGCATTCAGTCCCACTGTGTCATTTGCAGCTGTTTTGGAGCAATTTTCTCAGAGCAGTGTAGGAAAATGGTCTCTTCTGGATTTCTCCCTCCTCTTTCAAAGGGCAGAGCTATAGACTTTATGAGGGAAAGTTTCATAAACATGTCTGCCATGCGGATATCACACCCTGGCACCACATGGTTTAGTTTGGCAGTCGATGGAGTGGCCTGGGCACACCTGTAATAGTCAACCCTGTCCTAGGTTCTGGAAGCAGTGACTGGATGGAGAAGAAGGGAGCAGGAAAAGTGGGGGTGGGGGTGGGGGGAGGGCAGAGCTGGGAGGGCAGAGTCATTGCTTTAATGAGATACACCTGCAGGACCCTCGATGAAAAACTCTGGGTGGCTTTTTAATGGAACAGTCAAGCCTTCTGAGTAGGTTTCAGTTTCCTTCTCAAACAGGAAAGGGAAAGAGGGGAGAGAAGGGGAAGAGAGGAGACCAGCATTGAGAAAAGAGAGACAGAAAACCAGAGAAGCTTCAAAAGAAGTGACAGAGACACTTCAGCTCAATAAAAGAAGCATTTTTTAAGTCCTACTATGTGCCAAGCACTGTGTTGGGCACTGGTGACAGAAAGACAAAAAAGAAGCATGCCCTGCCTTCAGGGAGCTTACAGTCTATCCAGAAAGACAACACGTGCATAGACAAATAAACATGGAGCAATAAAAAGTATTTTCAAGATCGAAGGAACCCTAATAACTAGAAGAGGGTGAGGGAGACAGATTGAGGAAGGCCTGAGTAGGAGACGGCATCAGGGTGGTCCTTCGAAGGAAGCTAGGAATTATATATGTGGTATGTGAGGTGCAGTGGATAAAGTGCTAAGCCTGGAGTCAGGAAGGCTCATTGCCCTGAGTTCAAATCTAGCTTCCGACACTTACTAGCTATGTGACCCTGAGCAAGTCACTTGACCTTGTTTGCCTCAGTTTCTCCATCTCTAAAGTGAGTTGGAGGAGGAAATGGCAAACCTCACCAGGATCTCTGCCAAGAAAACTCTGGATGGGGTCATGGAGAATTGGACACGACCGAACAATGATGTGAGAACAGAGGCATTCTATCTGAGCGTGAGCCTCATACAAAGGCTTCATGATAGATGGAAAGTATGTGGGAAACGGTAATTAGGCCAGCTTGGCTGCAACAGAGAGTGTGTTAATATGAACTAACATGAAATAAGAATGGAAAGGACAGTGGGGACCACGGTGTGGCGGTCTTTTAATGCAAGGCTGAGAATTTTGTATTTTGACCTAGGGGCAATAATAACAATAACAACGGCTTTGAGCTTTCCAAAGCGTTTTGTGTATTTTATCCCATTTGATCCTCACAACAACCCTGGGAGGTAGATGCTATTATTATCCCCATTTTACAGCTGAGGAAGAGAGATGGTAAGTGACTTATCCAAGGTCACACAGCTACTAAGTTTCTGAAGGGGGATTTGAACTCAGGAGTGCCACAGCTCTGGAGCTCTATCCACTACACCACCTATTTTCTGTTGAAGGATTCTGACTAAGTAGTGACACGGTCAGATCCGTGTTTTAGGAATATCACAAAAAGAACATCACAAAAGGAGAAAGAAATGTGAGAAGAGAAAGAGGCAGGGAGACAGAGACAGAGACAGGCAGGCAGGCTGAGACAGAGGACAGAGAAAGTCACTGCAAGAAAAAAATCAGAGCCTTTTCAGGGTTCTGCTGACCCTACTAAAGACAGCAATGTGGCTACGCCTGGGGAAGCCTCGGGCTTAGCTTTGTCTCTTTGACACACCACTCTTCTGAGGAAAGTTTTAGAAATGGGAATCAGGACCTTGCAACCTGAGACCCCAGCAGTTTGCTGGAAGATAAGCTTGAAAAGCACAGGTTTGTTAACACTAGCCAGGAGCAGCTATTCCAGGACAGGGAGCATTCCTGTGCATCATGGCAAGAAGAGGTCCCTTACTAGCAGAGAAGGACCTAAATATGCACAGGGTGCAGGAATACTCATCAGCTGGCAGCTCTGTTGTTCACTCCCACTCCCAGATCACATATCCAGGGCTGAGAAGGAAACCTGTACCTGAGGATGCCATTCCAGGGCAGGGCATGGTCTCAGGAGCTATGCTCACTGAGCAAGGAGCAAACTCTGAAGCAAGAAGTAGGAAGAAGCTGAAGCTGAAGCAGAAGACTACGAAGAAGAAGACGATGACAATGAAGAAGAAGAAGAAGAAGAAGAAGAAGAAGAAGAAGAAGAGAAGAAGAAGGAGAAGAAGAAGGAGAAAGAAGGAGAAGAAGGAGAAGAAGAAGGAGAAGAAGAAGAAGGAGAAGAAGAAGAGAAGAAGGAAGGAGAAGAAGAGAAGAAGAGAAGAAGAAGAAGAAGAAGAAGGAGAAGAAGAAGAGGAGAGGAGAGGAGAAGAAGAAGAGAAGAAGGAGAAGAAGAAGGAGAAGGAGAAGAAGAGGAGAAGGAGAAGAAGAAGAAGAAGAAGAAGAAGAAGAAGAAGAAGAAGAAGAAGAAGAAGAAGAAGAAGGAGAAGGAGAAGAAGGAGGAGGAGGAGAAGATGATGGTGATGATGATGATGATGATAAAGATGAAGAAGAATCCCACTATAACAAAAGCTATCATGATAACAGGAATGCTCAACACAAACCCAGAAGAAAAGAATGACTCCAAAACATGCACAAGCACAATGTCAAAGGAAAATACAACATGCACAAAAATTCAACTAGAATTCCTGGAAGAATTACAAAGAAAAGAATTTTAATTTTTTTTTAGAAATGAGACAGCTAGAGGAAAAAAGTGAAGAAGAAATGAGAACTATAAAAGAAAGGATTTTAAAAAGAAATTAATAGCTTGACACAAGAGGTACCAAAAAATGCCTGAACAACTCTCTGAAAATTAGAATGGACCACTTAGAAAATAATGATTCCATGAAACAACAAGAAATAACTAGTCAAAGACTGGGGGCGGGGCGGGAGGAATGTGGTATATTTCATAGCAAAAAACAACTGACTTGGAAACAGAGGAGATAATTTAATAATCACTGGACTACCTGAAATCCATGACCAAGAAAAAAGAGCCTAGACATCTTATTTCAAGAAATCATAAAAGAAAACTGCCCAGATTTCTCGAATCCAGAGGAAAAATGGAAATAGAAAGAATCCTTTTACCTCCGGAAAGAAACCTCAAAATGAAAACTCCCAGGAATATTATAGCCAAAATCAGAGTTTCCAGGGAAAAGAAAAATACTGCAGGCAATCAGAAAGAAAAAGTACAAATTCCAAACAGTCAGGATCACACATGTTCTAGCAGCTACCATTATAAAGGAGCAGAAAGCTTGACATATGATATTACAGAAAGCCAAGGATATAGGCTTACAACCAAAAATAACATATCCAGCAAAACTGAGTATAATCCTACAGGGAGGGAAATGGGTCTTTGGTGAAATAAAGGACTTTCCTCACATTCCTACTGAAAAGACTAGAACTACATAGAAACTTTAAAGTGTAAACACAAGAGCCAAGAGAAACACAAAAAGGTAAACATGACTGAACAATCATAAGGGAATAAACAAGAAAAAATCTGTTTATTCTGGAGAACAATTTGGAACCATGCTCAAAGGACTATAAAACTGTGCATACCCTTTGACCTAGCAATACCCCTACTAGGTCTATATCCCAGACATCAAAGAAAAAGGGAAAGGACCTATATGTACAATAAATTTATAGCAGCTTTTTGTGGTGGCAAAGAACTGGAAACTTGGAGGATACTCATCAATTGGAGAATGGCTAAACAAGTTGTGGTATATGCTTCTGTGAAGGAGTACTATTGTTCTATAATAATTGATGAACAGGATGGTTTCAGAAAAATCTGGGAGGATTTATATGAACTGACACAAAGTGAAGTGAGCAGAACCAGGCGAACAGTAACAGCAATGTTGTAATGCTGATCAACTCCAAGAGATTTTGTTTCTCTAATCAATACAATGATCCAAGACAATTCCAAAGGGCTTTTGATGAAAAATGCTATCCACCTCCAGAGAGAGAACTGATACACTGTGAGTGCAGACAGAAGTATAAATTTTTATTTTATTTTTCTTGCTTTTATTGCAACATGGCTAATATGGAAATATGTTTTAGATGTTTTCACATGTATAATTGATCTCAAATTGTTTGTCTTCTCAATGGGTGAGCAAGACATTAGAGGGAAGGAGAAAATTCAGAACTCTAAAGTTTTAAAAAATGAATGTTAAAATAAACTGCTTACCTTCTAATATAGGGAGGTAATACTTGTGTCCCCTCTGAACTCCATCACCATCAGTGTGTCATGGAGGCAGTCTAAATAGGCAGAAAGCATAAAAGTAGTTCTGTTATGTCTCGATGATCTTAAAAATCTTGAAAAGGAGAATGTAAAGGGAGGGGGGAGGGAATATACTAGGGAAGAAAGATGGGGAAATTGTCACATATGGTAGGTATATGCAAGTAGAAGTCAATACAAACAAGGAAAAATGGATAACATTTGAACCTAATTCTAATTTGACATGATCACAGGAGGGAAGAATATACATACATAGTTGTGTGCAGAAATATGTTTCACTAAACAGGAAAACAAGAAGGAAAGAAGAGAAGGAAAAGGAGAAAATGATAGTGAGGGTAGGTTAAGGAAAGGATTAGTTAGGAAACAAAACAAACTCTAAGAATAAACAAAAAATACGTACAGCAGCTCTTTTTGCTATGGCAAATAATTAGAAACTGAGGTACTGTCTATCCATTGGGGAATGGATGAAAAAGTTATGTTATATAAAGGTGATGGAATACTACTGGGCTATAAGAAATGATAGAGAATATTTTCAGAGAAATATGGGAAGACTTGTATGAACAGATACAAAATGAAGTGAGCAGAGCCAGGACAATTTATACAACGACAATAATATTTTTATGGACTATTTTTCTTTTTTTCTTAAATAATTTATTTATTTTTGTTTTCATTATTCACTTCCACAAGATCTTGAGTTTTAAATTTTCTCCCTCTCCCTCCTTCACCCTCCCCTAAGACAGCATGTAATCTGATATAGGATCTATTTATACATTCATATTAAGCATATTTTCACATCAGTCATGATACACAGAAGAATTAAAATTAATAGGAGGAACCAGAGAAAGAAAAAATAAAACAAAACAACAAAAGAAAAGGAGAGCAAATAGTCTGCTTCCATCTGCATTCAGACTCCACAGTTCTTTCTCTGGATGTGGATAGCATTTTCCATCATGAGTCTTTTTCAGTTGTCACAGATCCTTGCAATGCTGAGAAGAGCTAAGTCTATCAAACTTAGTCATCACACAATGTGGCTGGTACTGTGTACAGTGTTCTCCTGGTTCTGCTCATTTCACTCAGCATCAGTCCATATAAGTCTTTCTAGTTTTTTTATGAAGTCTGCCTGCTCATCAGTTCTTATAGCACAATAGTGCTCCATTACATTCATATACTACAATTTGTTCAGCCATTCCCCAATTGATGGGCATCCCCTCAATTTCCAATTCTTTGCCACCACACCAAAGGGCTACCATAAATATTTTTGTACATGTGGGTTCTTTTCCCATTTTTATGATCTCTTTGGGACACCGCCCTAGAAGCGGTATCGCTGGGTCAAAGGGTATGCACAATTTTATAGCCCTTTGGGCATAGCTCCAAATTGCTCTCCAGAATGGCTGCATCAGTTCACAACTCCCCCAACAATGCATTAGTGTTCCAATTTTCCCACATCTTCTCCAACATTTATCATTTTCCTGCTTTGTCATGTTAGCCAATCTGATAGGTGTGATATGGTACCTCACAGCCATTTTGATTTGCATTTCTCTATTTTTTCATATGACTATAGATAGTTTTAATTTCTTCCTCTGAAAACTGCCCATTTATATCCTTTGACCATTTATCAATTGGGGAATGACTTGTATTCTTATAAATTTCACTCAGTTCTCTATATATTTTAGAAATGAGGCCTTTATCAGAGACACTGACTGTAAAAATTGTTTCCCAGCTTTCTGCTTCCCTTCTAATCTTGGTTGCATTGGCTTTGTATAAAAACTTTTAAATTTAATATAATCAAAGCCCTCCATTTTGTATTTCATAATGTTCTCTATCTCTTGTTTGGTTATAAATTCTTCCCTTCTCCACAGATCTGATAGGTAAACTATTCCTTGCTCTCCTAGTTTACTTATGATATCAGTTTTTATATCTAAATCATGTACCCATTTTGACTTTATCTTGGTATAGGGTATAAGATGTTGGTCTATGCCTAGTTTATACCATACTATTTTCCAGTTTTCCCAGCAACTTCTGTTAAATAGTGAGTTCTTATCCGAGAAGCTAGAGTCTTTGGATTTATCAAATAGTAGATGACTATAATCATTGACTGCTGTGACAATGATAATAATATTGTAAAAACAAAAAACTTTGAAAGACTTAGGAACTCTGATAATGGTAATGAACAACCACAGTTCCAGAGGACTCTTAATGGAACATGCCACCTATCTCTCAATAGAGAGGTGAAGGATTCAGAGTACAGAATAAGACATTTTTTTTTTGAACATGGCCAATGCAGGAATTTTTTTTTGCTTGTCTATACATGTTTGTAATAGGGATTTTGTTTTTCTTTCCTTCTCAATAAAAAAAATACCTATACAACACATTTTTTAAAATATTTAAAAATAAAGGAAGAAAGCACTCTACTAAATTTTTAATGAGATAAATATAGTCATAATACCTAAACCAGGGAAGTATAAGACAAAGGAAGAAAACATCATTAATGAATATTGACTTAACATTTTAAATAAAACCCTAGCAAAATGACTCCAGTAATTCATCCAAAAAAATTCATTCACTATGATCATGTTGAATTTATACCAGGGATGAAAGAATGGTTCAACATTAAGAAAGCAATTAACATAATTAACAATATTAAAAATAAAAAAGCTTCAAAATGACATTATTATTATAACAACTGATATAGCAAAACTCTTTGACAAAGTACAATATTCATTTATGGTTTTTTTAAAATCCTACAAAATATAGGCATTGGCATCTTTTTAAAATGTATTTTAAAGTAATCATTTAAAACAAAAAGCTAGCACTATATGCAATGGGGAGACACTAAAATCTTTCCAAGTAAATCAGTAGTAATGCATGAAGACCTTTCCCCTTCCTTTTATTTGATATGATTTTAGAAATGCTATGAGTAGCAGTGAGACGGGAGAAAGGCATTAAAGGCATGAAAGACAGACAAAGAGAAGACAAGTATCTCTATTTGCTGATGACATGATGGTTTACTTAGAAAATCCTAGAGAATTAGCAAAGAAACTAATTAAGATAATTGATCACTTCAGTAGAGTTGCATGCTACAAAAACAAACCCACAAAAAATTTCTTTATGACATGAACCTATACATAGTTCTAGAAATAATCATAAAAAGGGACGTCTCATTAAAAAATAATCACAAAACACCTAAAATGTCTTACAGTAAATCTAACAAAAGCACACTCATTATAGATATAATTTTTAAAATACTTCTATCTAGTGCTCATGGCTGCTTCATGTTAATATGATTAAAATTATAATAATACTGAAATTAAGTTACGGATTTAGTGCTATGCTAGTCAAACCGCCAAAAGGGTACTTTACAGAGGAATTAAAAAGTAATAAAATTCATCTGCAGAAATAAAATACATAGAATATCAAGGGAAATAATGAAAACTGGTAGGAATGAAGTCAATAATAGCACTTTCATACCTCCAATCCTATTAGAAAAGCAATAATCATCTAAACCATTTGTACTTGTTTTTTTAAGTAGAGCAATGAAATAGAATAGAGAAATAGGAATGAGAAATAATTTAAATTAATAACCCAGTGTTTAATAAACCTAACAACATAAATTGCCTAGGAACGAATTATATATTTGACAAGAATTTCTGGGAAAACTGGTAAGCAGTCTAAGTCTAGCAAAAAGTAGGTCTAGATCTTTGGTTTCAAATTCAAATAGAAACAGAACTTACTAAACCATACATAAGGATCCCAGTGAGTTACATATTGACTTGTTTTAAAAGGCAATGTACCTGTGTTTTTTAAATTTTATTAAATATTTCCCAATTACATTTTAATCTAGTTCAGGCAGCACTCAGGAGTGTTGTGGGCTACATGGGGCCATGTGTTTAACATCTCTGGTCTAGACTAATATTTTATCCCACATGCCACAATAAATTAAAAATGGATAAGTAACCATACCATAAAAAAGGTTGTACCATAATCAAAAATTAGAAGAGAGGCAAATAATATACATTCGATAGTTTTGACTAGGAGGTGAATTCTTGACCAAATAAGGAATAGCAATAATTACAAAAACTGAAATAAATAATTTTGATTGCATGACATTTAAAGCTTGTGCATAAACAAAATTAATGCAACTAGTATAAGAAGGGAAGCAATCAAATGGGGAAAATATTTGTGTCAAACATTTCTCTCAATGGTCTGGTTTAAAATACATATAGACAATTAATAGAAGTATAAAAATTCTCAAGTATTCTTATACAAAATGACTAACATGGAAAGTTTTACATGATTACACATGTATAACCTATATCATATTGATTACTGTCTCAGGGAGGGGAGAAGGAAAGGAGAGAGAGGGAGGAACAGAATTTGAAACTCAAAACTTTAAAAAAAATGTTTAAAAAATTGTTTCATCATGTAATTGGGGGAAAATAAAATATTATGGGAAATAAAAATAAAGAAGTCTATAAGCCCAAAAGTCATTTCTAGATAAATAAGCATGACTATGAGCAAACCGGTCTCAAAAGAATAACTGTATATCATTAACAGCTCCATAAGAAAGAATGTTTCAGGGCCATCTAGGTAGCACAGTGGATAGAGCACCAGCCCTGGAGTCAGGAGGGTCTGAGTTCAAATCCGGTCTCAGACCAGACACTTGACACTTACTAGCCGTGTGACCCTGGGCAGGTCACTTAACCTCAATTGTCTTGCCAAAAAAAAAAAGGAATGCTTCAAATAACTAATAAATAAAATCACAAATAAAAATAATCCTGAGGTTTTACCTCATATCCAGCAAACTGGCAGAGATGGGAATAGTGTTGGAGGAACTATGAAAAGGTAGTCACACTGATGCGTTGTAAGGGGAGCTGTGCATTGTTCCAATCATTATGGAAAATTATTTGAAATTATGCAGAAAGAGTAACTAAAATGTCTGTATACTTTAACCCAGATATTCCACTGCTAGGTATATACCCCAAGGAGGTCAACGACAAAAATAAAGGCCCCATATGCTCCATAAAAAATTTATAGCAGCATTTTTTTCTTGTAGCAAAGAACTGAAAGCCAAGTAGATGTCTATCAGCTGGGAAGTGGGTAATCAAATTATAGTACGTAATGTAATGGAATATCACTGTGCCATATGACATGTTGCATATGATAAATAATGAGAAGCTGCATGGATTTTTATGAATGGATGCAAACTGAAAATAGCAGAACCAAGATGACAATATACATATTAGGGTGGGGGTAGATCAAGTCCATCAATCATCCCATCCCATTTAAAGGATCAAGAAAATACTCCAGCTTTGATACTTTAGCCTAGTGAAGGTATATCCATTGACTCAATCATCAAAGGGACTGTACTGAGTTTGAAGGAGGTTAATTGACTTGGAAAGAGGAAGGGCTTTTGGGTGAAATGAACCATCCTGCCCAGGAAGACTGCTACCGTTACATTGCTGGATGAGATGAGATGGAGCAGTGCCATGAAATCACCAGAAGGTATTGGTGGCCCTTCACTGTATGAGGGGAGGATTTCTCTCCACATGTGTTTTCTGGCTACCCATGTTCACTGAGTGTGTGTTGTGCTATGTAAGTTTTTATGGGTGCCCACTCTTCCCACTGATGGAATGTGTATTTTGTAGGAGTGTATACCACCAGAGTAACGTAGGAAATATTTTATCGCTACATTTCTCACTTTCCCATTCCATCAAATGCTCTTGTTTTGAACTAATTGCATTTCTAGCTGACTAATAAAGGTAAATACATCCACTGGGGATTGTGAGCTATGATTTTTGGTGGATAGAGATCCACAGAACTTTGAACCTAGGGTAGACTTATTTGGGAATCCACTCTTAAACTTATAGCAGCAGTTCTCAAAGTCTGGTCTGTGGATCCACAGGGTCCCCAAGATTCTTACAGGGGATTTTTGGGTCAAAACCATTTTCATAATACCAAGACATTGTTTGCCTATTAAAATACACTTCCTTTTTCCAACTATTTATCTGTGTAAGGCCAAATTTTCTTCATATGCTTTGATATCAGAACAGATTTGAATGCTGACATAAATATAAGAATTCATGTCTTCTATTAAGATAGCCACTAAAGAGATTCATAAAAATATGTGAAACAATGCCAATCTCACTATTTTTAAAATTTGGAAAATATAGTTATTTTTCATAAAAATATCATCCCACTAGGTAATGGGTTTATTAGTGTTATTTTAATGAATTTATAAATATTTTTAAAGTTTCTCTTTTAACTTCTAATAGGATAAATATTGAAAAATATAACCAAGGTTGTGCTAACTTAATTATACAATATAAAATATATCCAAGGGTGAGCTAATTTAGTTGTTAAATTTTCAGTTTGAACCAAAATTCATTTTCAGATATCCAAAAACACACCAAATCAAGGCTTGGTTTGCTGTTTTGTTGATAAAGAAAGTCAAGGAGAAAATGTTAAAAATGCAGATTAAATTTTAAAGCATGTCATGCTTTCAGGGAGTCGATTGTTAAACATTTACCAGCACACTCCTGAACAGAACCTGTATAAACAAAAGTTCTTTGGGGTTGTCAATAATTTTTAAGAGCGAGGCAGCTAGGTGGCACAGTGGATAGAGCACGAGTCCAGGAGTCAGAAGGACCTGAGTTCTGATCCAGCCTCAGACACTTGACACTTACTAGCTGTGTGACCCTGGCCAAGTCACTTAACCCCAACTGCCTCACAAAGAAAAACAAAACACAACAACAACAAAAATCTGGCCTCAGACACTTACTAGCTATGTGACCCTGGGCAAGTCACTTCACCCTGTTTGCCTCAGTTTCCTCATCTGTCAAATGAGCTGAAGAATGAAATGGCAAACCGCTCCAGTATTTTGCCAAGAAAACCCCAAATGGAGGAGTCACAAAGAGTCAAACACGACTGAAACGGCTCAACAATAATATAGTTCCCTTCCCACTCTAAATCTTTTGCAAAGGGAGGGCAATAGAAACATAGAATGAGAAGCTGTGAAGATTAGAAATGAGTGCATCCAGCAGAGAGCTAGTAAATGTCAGAACTCACGCTGAAGAAGAGAAGAAACTCGCCAAACTCTACCGGAGTGAAGAATGTAGGAGAATAACTGGTTGCTAGGGGTTATCTATTTGCAGCCAACAGTGAGACATTCTGGATGTGGGAGGTGAATGATTAGCTCAGCTTCTCCTCCGCCGTGGTGAAGAATTCCAGTTGTTGCAAAGTTTCTGGAAGCCACAGCCATCAGCATGGCCAGCCTCCTTCTGGGTTCAAGGTATCTGTACCAAGGGCAGTTGATGAAAGAAAAGAAGAAACAAAATCAGCTACAATGTACAACAGTTATATAGTGGTTTCCTCACAGCTACCACGGGGGGAAAAAAATAGGGCTTCTATACATGTATGTCTTAAAGAGTTAACACAAAAATGTTCCACTCAATTTAAAAATTAAGAACAATGAGCATAAAACTGTACTAAGTAAGACAGTGAAAATGTATGCATATACAAAAACACATAGTGTATGCATTAGAGAATCAGGCTCAGTGTTGGCAAGAGCTGCATCTGGGTTCAAGTCTTACTTATGGCACGTACAGGTTTTGTGACCCTGGGTAAGTACTTAACTTCTCAATGCCCCCAGGTGTCTCTAAGACTATAAATTGCAAAGAAGGTGTCAATCTGCATTGATAGAGTGAGTTCCCTCATCTGGGAGTTCCCTATCATCCCAATGAAATCACTGTCCTACCCCTCATACAAATGCACACACATGTGTACATATACATACATACATATATATCACTTCTATATTCTAATTCATTATTAAGAAGAAATGGAAAGGCGGGAGGGAGAGGGAGAGAGAAAGTAGATAGGGGGATGGAAGAGAGACACAGAAAGAGCGGTCAGAGAGAGAAGAGAGGGAATGAGAGAGAAAGAGAGGAGAGAGAGAGAGAGAGAGAGAGAGAGAGAGAGAGAGAGAGAGAGAGAGAGAGAGAGAGAGAGAGAGAGAGAGGAGAGAGAGACAGAGAGACAGAGAGACAGAGAGAGACAGAGAGACAGAGAGACAGAGAGGAGACACAAAGAAAGAGAGAGAGAGAGACAGAGAGAGAGAGACAGAGAGAGAGACAGAGAGAGAGAGAGAGAGAGACAGAGAGAGAGAGAGACAGAGAGGAGACACAAAGAAAGAGAGAGAGAGAGAGAGAGAGAGAGAGAGAGAGAAAGAAAGAGAGAGAGAGACAGAGAGAGAGAGACAGAGACAGAGAGAGAGAGAGAGAGAGAGAGAGAGAGAGAGAGAGAGAGAGAGAGAGGGAGAGAGAGAGAGGAGAGAGAGACAGAGAGACAGAGAGACAGAGACAGAGAGAGAGAGAGAGAGAGAGACAGAGAGAGAGAGAGAATGAACAAAGGACAGAAAAACCAGAGAGATGGACACACCAGGGTGGCACATGTGTCTGGTCACAAGAAAAACCAAAAACAAATAGAAAGAGAGATTCTTTTTTTAGAGAAAAATAGATGAAGATGAGAAAGACAGCAAGCACACACCTCATTTTTGTTCATGTCCTTAATGTCAAGGACTGAAAACACAGGTAAATACTGCCAGAATTTGTCATTAAAATTCCCACCTAACATTCAAAAGCCCAGGTAGACCTGGATTAAGCATCAGACCATCAGCAGATGGTTCTGGGAAGATGGCGGAATAGGTCTGAAAATTTCAGCCTCTGGAAATTTCATCTACAAACAAGACAGAACATGAGGTGAATGTAGAGCAGCAGAAGTAAATAAAAGTCGGGGTAAAGCATGTGTCCTTCTAAGACTTCAAGAGTGGCCTGGGGAAAGACCAGATCCCCGGGGGCTGATGAAGTGCGAACCCCTCTTGGCTCTCCTCTGGGCCTGAATCAATGAACAAACCCTGGGGGCAGCTGGGCTAGGGAAGAGGGAAGGACCCTTCACTCGCCAGGCCTAGCTGTCCTACCCCAGGCCTGGGCGTCCTTACCAGACGAGTCCTGGCTGCGGGTGTGGGCAAGGGGTAGTGAGCTCATGAGGGTAGGGACCCTGCTGGCTGTGGTCACTCAAAGGAGAGGAGTCCCTGGCTTTGGTTCCGGGGCAGAGGAGAGCTGAAGTTTGCAGTGGGAAGGACAGCAGGGAGGAAGAGCGTTCACAGGACAGCGTGGCTGGGGGCCTACCGGTGCTTTTAGGGGTGAAGAGGAGAGCCCAAGGTCAGGCCCAGGCAGAGCTCAGAAAATAACAGTAAGAAGGACTTCAGGCCTGGGGCATCATTTCCCACACCTCAGCACTAGAACTGATTACAATAATGAGCTGCTAAAAATAAACTAAAATCAAATAAAAATTCAAAATTAACGGGAGCAAGCCTGACCATAGACAGCTATTGTGGAGATAGAGAAGATCTGGGTTCATGTTCAGAGAAAGCTAGTGAAGTTAAAACAGTCACTCCTACTTTAAAGAGAAATGTCAAATGGTCACAAGCCCAAAAGGAGCTCTGGGAAGAACTTTATGTTTGTTTTTTTGGCTAGGCAATGGGATTAAGTGACTTGGCCAGGGTCACACAACTAGTAAGTGTTATGTGTCTGAGGCCAGATTTGAACTCAGGTCCTCCTGACTCCAGGGCCGGTGCTCTATCCTCTGCACCACCTCACTGCCCCCTGGAAAGAACTTTAAAAAGACTTCAAAAATCAAATAAGAGAGATCAAGGGAAAATTAAGGGGGGAAAAATAAGAGCAATCCAAGAAAACTATGAAAAGAAAGTTAACCTATTAGAAAAAGAAATCCAGAAACTTAAGGAAGAAAATAACTCCTTAAAAACTAGAATTGGGCAAGGGAAAGCCAAGGATGTTATGAGACACCAAGAAATATTTCTTTAAAAAAAAATGAAAAAATAGAAGAGAGTGTGAAATATCTCATTAGAAAAACAACTGATCTGGAGAATGGATCATGGAGAGACAATAAATACTGCAGAGCTACAATCAGGATCACATAAGACCTAGCTAGCAGCTTCTATATTACAAGACTGCAGGTCTTGGAACATTATATTTTGAAGAGCAAAAGAAAGAGCTAGGTGTATGACCAAAAAATAAATTACCCGGCAAAGGTGAGTATAATCCTGAATAACAACCAAAAAAAATGGACATTTAATGAAATGAAAGACTGTCAGGTATTTTTGACAAAAGACCGGAACTCAATGGAAAATTCAACATATGAGAACCATGAGAAATATAAGGTAAACATTAAAGAACAGTTATAAGGGACTCAATAAGGTCAAACTGTTTACTTCTTGTATGTGAAAATGTTATTAGTACTCTTAAGGCCACTATTATTACTTGGGTAGTAATGAAAGGCTTGGTGTGAGCTGAGTAGAATGGGGTTATTCTAAAAAAATAAAACTGGGTAGGAAGAGGTAAAAAGGAGTATCTCATACAAAAGAGGTGTGAAAGAAAGAACTGGTACAGAAGAACCAGGTAGGGGTTGAGGGCTGATAGCACCAGAACCTTACTCTCATCACAACTGGGTTAAAGAGGGAACAACATACACATCTAGAAGCATATAAAAGTCTTCTAAATGTATAAAGAAGTAAGAGTGTAAGGGGACAGAATAAGGGAGGGACTTTTAGAAGGGTATAAAGATTAAGAATTAGGAGAGTGGGAGGAAAGGATAAGGGAGGGATTCTTTAAAAGGTATGGATTAGGAAGGTAACCAGATGTGTGAGGAGGGATAGAGTTTTAAAAAAAGGCTGAGAAAGATAATAGTAAGGAAAAATAAGATGGAGGGAAATATACAAATGGTAATTATAATTTTGAATGTGAATGGAATGAACTCATCCATAAAACAGAAACAGATAGCAGAATGGATTAAAAATCAGAATCCGACAATATGTTGTTTACAAGAAACACATTTTAAAATGATAGATACACAGTTAAAATAAAGGGCTGGAGTAGAATTTATTGTGGGGAAAAAAAAGCAGAAGTAGCAATCGTGATCCCAGACAAAGTTAAAGCTAAAATAGATCTAATTAAAAGAGAAAAACAAGTAAACTACATTATGATAAAAGGTACCATAAACAATGAAACAATATCACTACTGAACCTATGTGTACCAAATACTATAGCATCCAATTTTTTTAAGCAAAAGTTAAATGAATTACAGGTGGGAGTAGATAATAGTACTATAATATAATTTAATCTTCCCCTCTCAGAATTAGATAAATCTAACAAAAAGAAATAAGAAAGAAGTCAAGGAAGTGAATAGAATTTTAGATAAGCTAGATATGATAGACATCTAGAGTGAATTGAATGAGAATACAAAGGAATACATGTTTTTCTCAGCAGTGCATGTTACATTTACAAAGACTGACTATATATTAGGGCATAAAATTTCATAGCTAAAAGCAAAAATATTAATGCATCCTTTTCAGATCACAATGCCATAAAAAATACATTTAATAAGGGACCACAGAAACAGAATTAAAACTAATTGGAGACTAAACAACCTAATTTTAAAGAATGAGAGGGTTAAAGAACAAATCAAAGAAAAAATCATTCATTAAAGAGAATGACAATAATAGAAAATATGTCAAAAACCTATGGGATACAGCAAAAGTGATAATTAGAGGAAAATTTCTATCTCTAAACTTTTACCTCAGTGAAATAGAGAAAGAGCAGACCAATGAATTGGGTATGCAATTAGGAAAAGAACAAACTAAAAATCTCCAATTAAGCACTGAATTGGAAATCCTAAAAATTAAAGGCAAGATTAATGAAATTGAGTATCAGAAAGTCAGTGAATTAACAAATAAAACTAGGAGTTGATATTAACCAAACATTAAAAAAAGCAATAAAATAAATAACCATTGGTTGAGATGGTTATAGAAAAGAAAAAAAGAAAATCAAATCACTAGTACTAAAAATGAAAAATGTGAATATATCACTAACAAAGATGAAGTTATCTTGCCCAATTATATGCCAATAAACTTAACAATTTAAGTGAAATGAAAGAATATTTACAAAAGTTCAAACTGCCTAGATTAGCAGAAGAGGAAATAGAATATCTAAATAGATCTATTTTGGGAAAAAGAAATTGAACAGGTCTTAAATGAGCTTCCTAAGAAAAAAGCACCAGGACCAGATGGATTTACAAGTGACTTCTATCAAACATTTAAAGACCAACTAATTTCAATATTAAATAAATTATTTGGAATAATACCCAAAGAAGGGGTCCTACCAAATTCCTTTTATGAAAGAAATATGATATTGATACCTAAACCAAGAAGAGTAG